TGTACGACATCTTGGGCTTCACTTCCCGCTTTCGGGACAATCTGCCACGACTGCAAATTAGAAAAGATTACTGAATTTGTGGCAAATCTTCTAAGATCAACATACACAAAGACTGAGCAATCTGGCGGACTGACCAATTGTGCCCAAAGGTGTCCATAAAAGTGGCATAACAATAAAAAATGTACATATGCACATGTACATGATATGTGATTTCTGCCCTCGTAGAAGCTTCAGCCTAATTACATATTGAAGATACCACAACGAAATGTACACTACAATGATGGCCTCGCTGAATGTCTTAATTTTGATGGGGTTATTGATATGAACTTGCAGCTATTCGTGGCTCAGGCTGTGATGGGCTATGCCCATCACAGCCTGAGACGTGTGAAGATTCTGTGGATGCAGACTGTTTCATTTTCAGATTGAGTTGTGTATAGCACAACATATGATTTAGCTGCAACAAAATTTGCTTAAGCAGGAAAAAACTTTGCTTCATAAACAAAGGTTACCAGTTGAAACTCTATCTGAATGTCATGCTAACCCCAAAACAGCTAAATACAATCCCCAAACAATATACATCACATGGAATTTTTGCCAGTTAACTGATTTATCAAGCAATGTTTTTTCGCGCTTAAGCAAATTTTGTGCTTAAGCAGCTCTAGGAAATTGGCCCCTGGTGGTATGTGCTTGCATAAATACCACCATGAAGAGGTGAATAATGAAATACTCTGGTCGACCGTTATTATTGGAAGTGTGGTAAAGGATCATAATGTGGACTGACAGATAAGAAATGTTCTAAAAGCTACAAAATGACGGAAGGTAATATGACTAAGTTTGGAAAAATAGGCCTAAATTGTGTCCAAAAAAGCCAGATTTGATTAGCACTTGAGGTCTGTGTCACAGCACTTGATTGGTCGAAAACAATACTCGAAACCAAATTAACCACTGAGCCAAATAATTCAAATTTACATTAGAATGTACCTCTCTCAGTGCAGATTGAGAAATATTTAGATACCAGTAGATAAATTTAATATTACCCTGTAATTATTAAATTAATACTATGGTTCTTACACATGAAAATGACCTGTTTGCTTTGTGCACATTCAAATGGAATTATTTGTTTATACCCTGTGCCACATACTGTAAAATAGTTCATGCACATGCTGTATCACATCAAAACTCCCCACAGTGGTCACAAAGCACGCTTTTATCAGTGTAAAGTAGACAGTCACTCACGCCCAGGCTCTGCCTATTAGGCCAACTGCCTATGCAGTCAAATGGAAGTGGTCAAACGGCCTGTGCTAACTAATTGAATTTTGAGCGCTTATTAGTTCATCCGCTGTGAATGTGAATACAGCATGAATACAGCTGTGAATGTGAATACATGCCATACAGCATGCCTCCACTTGAAGAACTTCAATGATTTTGGACAAGCAATTTGCCCAAACCAATAAAATGTTTTAAAAAGGACTTTTACAAGGTGCCTACTGCTGCTGTTGAATGCAATCAATGCAGGTCTACATGGCTCATCATAATTAGACGTCTGCAGCGTTTAGATTGTAGATGTAGCTAGGTGTGAATTACAAGTAATTGGTGGTTTCAAATTAATCAGTGTGATCAAAAATGGTGTAGTCTTAAAGCAGCTGTTGGTCTGAATGTAGCTGGTCTTCATAACATAACTGGTGGTTTCAAAGTAGCCGATGGTCAAAAAGTGGCAAGTGCTTGACATGAGTGGTTGGTGGTTTCAAAGTAGTGGTCGAAAAGCAGCTGATGGTTAAAAAGTGGCCGGTGGTTTGGCCCTAAAAGAGCCAGGGGTGGGGACGGAATCCACCCCCCTCATAATTTTTCCGATATCTCGGCAGTGCATTGTTTTCAGGAGAATGTTCAGGAGCCTTAGAGTAACTCTTTGCAGTCATTTTGACATCAGTTTTGTGAAAATGGAACCTACCATTCTTGTACAGTGCCAATTTTTCAGAGACAGGAAGGCAAAAACTGTATTCTTTTTCTTCTGTGGTACTCAATGCATGCAGACTGGCACTTGCTTAGCCTTGAACTTCAGTTGATTGTAACAACAAAACCATGTGTCTGATTGACTTCAAACTTCACATTTGTAATGATAAGGAGTGTTTTTACATGTCTATTAAGTTTTAAAGAAATCGAGTATGGCACTGCAGAGTCCTTGGGGGAGGGGCGGAATCTGCCCCAACCTGGCTCTGAGAGGGGCCAAAATAACCAGGCTCTTACGGTTAAAAGTAGCCAGAGGTTGAAATGTGGCTAGTGGTGGTCAATAAGCGGCTGGTGAATTTTAAGTAGCTTGTGGTCAAAACCAAGCTTAAGGTTACAAGTTGCTTTAAAAATAGCCGTTAGTTTGAAAGTAGTTAGTGGTCAAAAGTAGTTGTGGTCTGAAAGAAGCTGTGGTTTAAAAGTAGCAAGTGGTTGAAAAATAGCTGGTTTTTAAGAATTGCTGGTGGTCAAAAAGTAACCAGTGATTTAAAAGTACTTGTGGTCTGGCATTTGTGAAATTCCCACAAGGATATGACTCTGGATTAGCTGGTTGGCATCCATAGTAACCTCCATACAGATAAAAAGTATCTTACCCGGCAAAGGGGGTGTCTTGAGTTTTGGCAGTGTCTGAATGTTCACCCCACCCAGGCACGGTGCTTCCCCTTCCTGGCATGTACTGGGGCTGGGACTTATCCACTGTCCCGATCTATCCTGACCCATGTAGCACTTACAGGCAAGGGATGTTCCTAGGATACACAAGAGGAAAGTTTATCAGCATTCAGTATGATGTACATGTAAGATGTACATGTAGAGTCAATGTGGCAGATCTCAGAGCAGCCAAACCCCAGGCAACACATCCCATGGTACCTTGCTCAATCAAAATCCTACGGTGGAAGTCAAGTCATTTCAAAGCCAGTGCAGCTACAGGCTCATGGCCAGCAAAGCCTATGTAGATTGTAGCCTAACCTTCAAAAAAAGGCAAAACTATTTGAAATGTGTTTGGTCACAGAGTACACAATTTAGACATAAAATCTTTCAAAGCACTAGGTTACACCCCCTTCAACTCCAAATTTCATCCCTCCCCAAATGTAAACACCCCCCCTATCCATCTCACTCTTCAGACAAACGTGCCTCTTTTCAGTGACATTGCCATAGCATTATGTAGTTAATCATTTCATGTTATTTCCTGAAATTAATGAAAATTTAAGAAAAGCAATTCACAGAAGTGGTTTTTCAAGTTTCTCTTCAATCCACACTAAAGGTGGATGCATTTGTGCCTTAAAGTGGCCAAATATAGGCTTTTAAACATCCAGAGGTATTTCCGGCTACCGTTACAACAAATTGCACATTTAACAAAATACGTACAGCTACAATATTACGGCAACAATCTTACCAGATGAGCTCACTATCAGGAAAGCTATTGTCATTATCACAATCATGATTGCACCTAGCAAGCCTTAAACCAATCCAAAGGAGCTGTATAACTTTATCGCACCAGGAAAGCCTCCAAAACTTGCATGAAAATGTGAGTCCACTAAGTTCCTTACTCAGCCAGAACAGTGTCTGCCACTGCAGCAAGCCCTTCTCCTGAATTATACTAAATGATCTTCTGCTCCTGGCATTCTAAACTGTATTTTTTCTACAGATTGCCATAGCAACCTTTTGGTCTGGTGACCAGAGGACCATACACAGATTTTCATTGGCTTAAAATGAAAACCAATCAATTAATGTTATCATTGCTGTTTCACAACTTCCATTCTTAATGGGCCTCGAGCTGGACCAAGAGAGGGCACTATTTCCATAGCAACGGAGGCTCCTTTGGTACGAGCTGCATATTGCTTCTGCTAGAGGTGCATTGTTCAGTTGTCACCGCAACCGGGGAATCCATTCATATTATTCAAAGGAATAACAGCTTTATGGTTGACAAAGCATGAAAGCATCATTCACTGATGAACCCTTTGAATCCACAAGATGTAAATTAAAAAATTTTAGCTAGATTTGCTGCTAGTGTAGCGATCAAAGTGCTTCTATTTCATCAAAACTGTACCGCTTGTATTGGAAATTGAAACCTAAAGAGGCCACAGAAAGACAGTGTGCAGACTTGATAACCATGGATTCTGATGCTACTTTTTCACCTGAAACACAAATTTATCTAAAATGTATTTCCCTTTTAAAACTGACAATTTTCACCCATGTCAGAATGGATGTCTGTCCATGTGTCCTGTAAAAACAAATCAATTACTCTCCTTCACAACCACTGAACAATACTCCATTGATTGAATTTGGCATATCCTTCAGAGATACATTTAAACATTTATTAAATACTAATATAATTCTTTCTTCACAAAGTTATTACAGCATTAAATACTCAGGCCAAGTTATCGTTACATGTATGTGTAGAACAGCCCCTGCAAATAAAATTCAGGTCAGTCTGTGGAGAGGAAACAAAGATTGAAAGGTTTCTTTCATAATCAGACAAAAGATGGCAGCATGACTTGTCCCACTGCCAAATTTGCAAATTAACTTCAGGTTCTCAAAACCAAGCTTTTAGCCAACGCCACAAAAATTGCAAACTCGTACCAAACTTAGTAGTTAATTCCTTACCCTACAGATGGTGTTTGAAACCAAATGCTCAGAAAACTTGATACAATTATCAGAAAATAACAAAAGCTGTAATTATTCTTGCAAGGTCATACCTGTCACCAATACTTAACACTTAACACAGACCATGCATCTTTAAACAAGGCAATTATATCAATTATTTGGCTGATATACTTCACATATTTCTAAGAGAAAAATCCTGATTCAATTCTCTCTGAAATTACTGCCTTTGCTGCAAGCAATAGAAATTTGAAGCATAATTGCCTGATACAGTTCGAGTTAAGCCAAGTTCGTCTAGGATTACAATGCCATTGCTAAAAACAATCCATTTTTTTTTTTAAAAAACAGGCATTATCCTCAACAATCTACTATGGACACATGTAGTGTACAATGAAGAAATTCATCCGTGAAGAACTCAAATCCATACTTTGACTCTGATGGATAGTAATAACCCTAACCCTTCTGATATCACGTGAAAATATTAAACAAACTTCTCAAATTTTTACCAGGTAATATGAGCAAATTTCTTACTAAACACAAGCCTCTCCGAAATTTTTTACAACACTTTTCGGCAGAGTGAATTAAATCTGCTTCAGAAAACCTCGTTCATATTAAAAAAGTTTTGTTTCAATGGGTTACCATCATAAACTGCACAAATTTTATAAATCCAAGCAATATTGACACAGATGTTACATCAATAGTCGGTTTTAATAATGCACATCAGTCTCTCAGTACGATGTAAACTATTCATTATTTTGGCAATCACATTCTAATTGGGTGAACCTTTTGGCCAGCACCAACACAACGTGAGCCACATAGTAGCTGTACATGGTGTCAAATATACACGTACATGTATGCCACTTCATACAGATACTTACGTGTAAATAGTGATCAGTCTGACTAGGGATCCATGGGAGTTGCAAAACAAATTATCAATGCTGTTTAAAAATCATAGATGTACATATATTTTGAAATTCAGAGAAATGTATTTATGCTGTGGGAAAAACGGAAGCACTATGACATGCATTAATATAAACTATCAAGACAAGTGAATATAATTATAACATCCTTACAGCCATATTTCATTGATATATTAATCACCTTACGCTACACGACCACCATGTGATTGGTCAATTCTAAAGTGAAGATGGTTTAAGCATATAGATGTGCATTTTAAAAATGGCTGTCCACTATTAAAAAGCCAAACATTCTATTGCCGTCTCCAAGTATATTTGGATGCCCTGCTCAAGTATAACAACCTATTTCAATCATTAAGTGTTGTTCTGTGTACAATGTACAATGCTTTGCAACAAAACAATTGAGATTGCTTAGACTAATAAGTATAGAAACTATACAAACTAAAATATAAAGGAAATATCAAAAATAGAACAAAATATGAATAGTTTAATGGCAGATATCCATTACTGGGATTTTGTAAAAATTCATTTCGAAGTGATAAATCCCTATGGGTCTGTGGAATTTGTGCATAAACAGAAAAAGTGCAAATAAAGTAAAAAGTAGCACCATTCACAGATACCGCTGTGCTGAGCGAATAGAGGGATATGCTCGCATGGTGCTACCAGAAACTGTTTAACTTGCTACTTTCACCAGGAAAAGCTTCACAGCTCAAGAAAGGGTACCTTGTTACTAGGTGCTATGTCCCCAAGGACACCAAGGGAACCTGCTTACATGCATTTAACTTGGAGAACAAGTCATTTCAGGACAGAATGCCCAAACCAATAGGGTCTTTGCGTGGGTACCAGGTACAATATATATATTGACAGCAATGGTGTTTATGTTGGCGCACCTTTTCTCTTTGTCCCTTGTAATGGGGGACATGTGGTCAGATTCCTCATTAAAGATACACAGAATGTCAGTTTGATCTTTAGTGGAAAAGTAACTATGACTTTGTACACAAAATATTATAAGCACTGCTGTCAACTGCCACGAAGTAAAAATGGTAATTTTTCTCTTTTTTTTTTAATTCATGTTTATTCTTGTGGAGCTTATTGCTCAAAAACAGCATTTCTGGAAAAATATAATTAAAAACTGGCACTGACAGCTGTGTGAACTGTGAAAAATGCTTTACTTTGTGTAATACAAAACAATTTGCCATCTGACGTACACACTGCACGTACAAGGGCAATTCTAGATCAAGTTGAATGGGGGAATGTGTCCCCAAATTGGCGAATCGGCAAATAATTTTTAATGGGGTGCTGTTGAAAATGCACAGAAATGAACAGTACGTAACAGTCAGTCACAAGATTCTTTTGCAATGCTACTGACAAAAGAGGGTTTGCATGGCTGCCATCTTGCAGGACCGTGCTTTTGTTCCACAGGGTGTGCACAAAGGAGGTTTCCCAATGGAACAAAACAATTGCCATGCAAGATGGCTTCAATGCAAGCCTCTATAATAATGATTTGTTGACAAAAATGTACAAATCTGTAGAAGGATGTCACATCCCTATCTTCCCTCTAGCAAAAACCCTTGATGTACTTCACACTTTTTTTTAGCCAGTGAAGGTGATCTTGCAAACTCAATTACACATTTTCTGGCACATTTTCTTTGGCAGCAACTCTGTTCTTGTACGTTGGCTTCTTGTAACTGAAACAGGACAACCAAACAACAAAAGACAGAAGATGAAAGGATCTGTTATGGTGTAGTGTCTAAATGATAATTGTATTAATAATTGATAAGAGATATTTTAGTTTAATTTAGTTTTTGAGATGCAATGTTCAAAAATTTCAACTTTCCACAACACTTTTCAGTCAAGTCTGCTTTTTGTTAGTTGCAGTAGTTTGAACAAAAATAACACTGACGGTCTACAATGCTTGAGGAATTATGAATAACTAATGGCTATATTTTAACAAAATATTTGCTGAAAATGAGATTTGCATGAAATGTTCACCAATGAAAGCTTGTATCATCCAACATGAACACTAGTTACCAGGTGAACTAGCAAGGTGACAAGCTAAAAGCGGACTCTTAAAAATTGTTATTCAGCTGAGGTGGTGTGTACCTTTGCAACAGATTTCACAGATAGGAGCAACCTGAAAGGGTATTCTTGACATTTTAATTCTTCAAGAAAAAAACACTGTTTGAGCAAGAGTTTGGTAAATTTCCACAGCTTTGTTGCAAATTCAGCAAACTTGCCAATGACTCTGTGTGTTGCTCACACTGTTTGTGCAAGACTTTGTTACATAGCAACAGCTTTGTTGCAAATTCATCAAACTTGCCAATGACTCTGTGTGTTGCTTTGCAGATTGTGGATTTTCACTTTCCATATGATCTATTTTTAGTTCGCCAAACATTTTCTATGGTTTGTTATTGAGACATTTAATTCCCAAATTGCCTCTCTCTAGGTCAATGTTGAGTTCCTGCTAAGCAGAAGCATGAAAATAAACAGGATGCTTCGAAGATTTTATAACTGTTTTGTGGTAATGGGTACTTACAACTTCAAGAAGAGGGATGATAGCACCACAGAGACAGAGGACATTGCCATGGCAGCGGAGGCCATCCAGGGCCTCAGGAGCAGACCCACAGGAGCCAGCACTCCTGGGGAGGAAAAAAAAGGTTGTCCGAATTAAGTAAGAGGCTGATGACAAATTCATAACCTAACCACCATGCAGGAAGCCATCTTTATACATAATGCATTTGTAACAATCTGTGAAGTGAACAACTGCAATTGTTTGATAGTTGAAACAAAAGAAACCTGGTGATATTGCAAGGAAAGGAAAAAGAAAGAGTTAGGAAAAATTCATATAGATTTCAAAACTTTTTTACAGTCCCCAAACTCATCGCTGACAGCATTAGAGGCATGGACTGTACACTGTAAAATCAAAGACAGGCTGAACTTTTAGTGGAAATATTGATATCTATTTACTAATTATTTACTTATATTTACTAATTTACTAAAGGTGCCTGTGTAAGTCCTTTCAATTTTAAGGTCTCAGAGCTTGCCTTTGTGGTGATCAAGTGAAGCACTTAACAATTGTTGCCTGCAGTGTAGGGGTCCATGGTGTTTTGTACACCCGAGGGGGCAAATGGCACTCAAAGGCAAAGCCGAGGGTGCCATTTGCCCCTGAGGGTGTACAAAACCCATGGACCCCCTCACAGCAGGCAACAATTGTTTTGTTATATACCATGGTCATAGATTTCATCAGAACGCTCTTACATGTATACATGTATCTGTAATATATGCATATTTTATTACCAGATAAATTAAAACACTTTGACAAATTGAAACATGTGAACAGTATATTAGATATAAATTTCACGGAAAATTATTGATTGTGATGAAATTGTTGACTGATTTTTTTTTTTTTTGGCCGGGCGGGGGGTGAGAAATATAGGATTCATAACAAACTTTAACAGAGAAATTTGTAACCCATAAAGCATAAATATAGGACTTATAACAAACTTTAACAGAGAAGTCTGTAACCCATAAAGCATAAATATAGGATTTATAACAAACTTTAACAGAGAAATCTGTAACCCATAAAACACTGGGGTTTTTGTCAAGTGGTTGAATTTCAAGACATTATTTACACCAAATGGTGTTGAAAAGTATTGACAAGATTGAAGAGCAGATGAGAAGATACAATGGCATGAGCATTTTATATAAACAGCAATGGCGATAGCACCCAAAGCAGTGATCACAGCATACTCGAAGCTGTGCCACTGCGGCTGTCAACCCTCGTACCCAAGGTTACACAATTACAAAGTAGACACAATACCTCGACTCTAGGAAAGATCACCGTGATCCATCATTTTTTGCGGCCCGGACACATACCCAGTGCCCACAATGCATGAATGATACAAGCGGGCGTGTAACATATGATCACGTGATCAATTCGTGCCCGATAAAAATTCACAATCTATGACTATGGTATAACAAAACCATTCTGTACGACCAGACATGCATGTGTGCATTGGCTGACCTATACAGGACACTCCCACTATATAGGCCATGTCAGCAGTTTTCCTTTGAATGGGACTTAAACTTTTCTTGGCCATGCCATTATTCTCAGTCAGAGGTGTATATATTTCATGTTAACCCTAACACTCCTCAGTCCTCCAACAGGTGAAGGATTGAGGAGGGTTAGGGTTAATGAAAGCAAATGCTTCTTTCATCGGGCAAGTGTGGATGACTTTTTTGTAAAAAAAAAGTACACCTTAACTGATACGTAGCTTTGGCAATAAACCTAAATGATTATGCTGGTAAAGACATTTTCTGTTTTTCTTTTCTTTTTTTCTTGTTACAAATTATTCATCAACACATGCATATTAAAAAAAACCATTAATTTGTCAATGCTACAAAAACAAAAAGGCCACATTAACTCGATGGGGACAATGTTTCTTCAGAACTTGATCTAGTACTGCATACAGTGCATTGATCTATAGTGCTTCATGGTATGCAACTGCCCCTTCAGCTAGCAGCCATAATAACCGTTGGGCAATTTGGCTTTTGGCAGAAATCGCCCAAGGGCTTCCATCTAGTTTTCTTAATTTTGCACCCTGCAAACATTCTCGGAATTGGTTCTAATTTCACGCATTGAAGTCACAATTCAATCCTGAACCGGCTTCAAATTTCCCTGGCAAATGCAACTGGGAAAGTTATCATAACAACATTAATGAATTCAAGGAGTAACTCGCCACTGCAGGCAGATTAGGAGAAAATATCCCCTCTCTACGTCATCACCATACATCACGTGAAAACTTGATATGAAGTGTATAAAATTGACTCCATGGAAATTGCACAGTGCTCTTTTATTATGTTGACCCCCCCAAAAAAGAAAGAGCGTGCAAAATATGGTACTCAGTAAAAACCATTTACATTCACTGTCGATTGAAATCAATTAAGCAGGACTTACCAGCAGCGATAGGGATGCCCACGGCATTGTACACGATAGCAAAGAAAAAGTTGATGTAGATTCGGCGAACAGTGCACTTGGATAAGTCAATGGCGGCTGCCACATCCAAGAGATTATTCTGCAAATACAAGATTTAAAAAGTTATTACTTTATTTTTTTCCATCAGTTTTTGAGTCCCCTTTCTGACGATGACAATGCAGTAACAAGTCCAACATTCATGAAGAACTACTCCGATGTAACTTTGAAAGGTACCAAAATATAAGTCTCGATTAACATAATACAATCAAGTTCCATATATAACACAATTTGAGGATTATTTTCTGGAAAAAGTCTGGCAACCTGTCGTGCAACTTTTCCACCGAGAGTAATGAACTATTCATGAAGATTGGATTAGTCATCTGAGGGGACAAATTACCACAGCTGAGCTTCATCATGTTTTAATATATATGTCCTTTGCTAATGCAAATATTAGTATTTGCTGTGCTACATATCAAATATTACCAATTTACCAAATTACCTGATCCCAAACATTCATTGACAGCATTTGCAAATATATGAGTTTGCAAATAAATACATGTAATTGGTTGAGCTTTGCTATAGATCATTAATTTTTTTTAACATCAATGTATTTCTTCTGTCTTTCAGTATTTTAGAGTTAGATCACATGCATCAGGTTGAGTTTGTCCTTCAAAATAATAATATGATATTAAAAGGAGGGTTTCCAATCAACATCTGGCTTTGATATTTAAAATGCTAGCTTAGCTTGTTTAGTGTTTACGAATGCTTCAAAGTCACTTTTGTTACAACACTTTTTAACAAATCAAACTTTCCCAACATAACTTGAAACAATTTCTAAAAACTGTAATTTTCAACATAAATTGTGCACGCTCCCCAGCTTTCAGAAGTTCTAAGAGACAACTTATCTGGCAATCAATCAAACCCGATGGACAAGAATTTTTGACACTGACCTTGATGAGGACAATATCTCCTGCCTCCATGGCAACATCTGTGCCCGTTCCTATGGCAATACCCACATCCGCTTTGACCAGGGCTGGCGAGTCGTTCACCCCGTCGCCCACCATGGCCACCTTGCGACCTTCCAGCTGGATCTCTTCCACTTTTTCGACTTTGTTCTTGGGCAGGACCTGAGCAAAAACCTTGGTGATGCCAACCTGGGGAGGAGGAGGAGGTCAGTGTGAGGTCAAAGGAAGCATTGCTCAGACCCTGTGATAACTTTCAAACATGCCATGTGTATCCAGTGAAAACTTATTCTGAGAATTTTCATTACCGATTTTTAAGGGTCATCCGTTTCAAGTTACTCCTTTTCAAGAGCCTACAAAATGTTCACTATATGAGGGGTGGTGTTTACAACACAAGTACGCTTTTGTAACCATGGAAAAAGGTTAATTGGCCATTTTGTGCTTTCTTGCAGATCCTTTTGAGAGGGGCCAGGGGTCGAGGAATGAGTACATTTTGAACATTTATGAACAAGTTGATGTGTGCATCAATCTAACTTGACCAAAAAAAGTTACGGGCTGATGCCACATTTCACAATTCTTGGAGACTCAGAAAA